GCTTCAAAAACATGCATAATTGTTTTCAACGATAACGATGTATTCGAGGTCGAAACGCAAGTGGTAACTTGGTTCAAAAGACGTTAACGAAGCTGAAAGTACCATACATGTTGGTGTCTATCTTGATAAATATAGATTAGGACGTCCTAATATAGACGATGTAGTTCATAAGTTCCGAAGTTCATGTTTTAGTTTTCTCGGATCCAACCCTATAGGAGATAGCATAAACCCTTAAATTGGTTTAAGGCTGTATAAATTTATCATTCAAGCACGTGGACTTTACAGCTGTGAACTATGGTTTCTTCTCTCTAATTCAGATTGGAGTCGTTTAGAAAAGATTTAAAATCTCCGTGTTAAATTAATTCAGTGTTTTCCGTTACGTACTAGATCTGACATCTGCTTAGGGATGTCAGGTTTACCTTCCATATCTGCTAAGGTTGACCAATGTAAACTCTTTTTTCTAGGGTCGCTATGTAATTTGACTTCACATTGTGGTGTGAAGCAAATATTTGTACTACGTTTATTGCATATGCATTATCAAATGTACAAAAGCACCGATGGTGTTATCCCAAATATATGATTTATTTTACATAAGTACGATCTACAAAATTATATATATGACTTTATAAAATCGGGTATATTCCCGATGAAGTCTCATTGGAAACAAATAGTTAAAACGACAGTTTTTGAGAAAAGAAGGGAGCAATTGGCAATCTCGTTTGAATGCTACCAATGACCTCAGTAGCTTCAAAATTCTCTAAGCTACGCTTGTACCTTCGCCACTCTATTTTTTCTGGCGCTCACTTAATGTTCGTTTTGGTACGGTATATCAGAAAATGACAAAGTTATGGACAATTAATCCAGACTGTGAGTTATTAATTGATTAAATTCATTCCATATTTTTAAAATCATTAGATCAGTATCCATTCTTCATCAGAATTTTTCAAAATGCAACGGTCTGAATTGCTCAATATTAACCCATATTTGATAACACGAAGTTTCCCATATGCGGAAATTTGTAATCTTCTCAATTCAAAATATGCTAATAGCAGGTGCTCTTTTTCACGCCAACATTTTACAAATTGAATGTAGACCGTCTCTACATATAAAGGTTCGTGAGATCCCCAGACTTCAGAACTGTAACTTAATGCGCTGTTTACATAAGTGTGAAACACATAACATTGTGTTATTACCTGCATAATAAGCGTTATTGCATTCTTCTGCTTCCGGAGGTCGTTAGATTTGTCGATAATTTGCAGTTCTGTATCATTTTGAAACAATTTTTCATCATTTCTAATCTAACAACTACTAATGAATATTACTTTTTTCGTTTTGTATGTTTTAAAGTTAATACTATGTTACACATTATAGGGCCTAATGGCGTCTAACACTTGTAATTTTTCTGAGGTTTCTGCAAATGACGCCGTGTCATCAGCATGAATCAAAAGGAAAATACGAATTAAATTACGTTCCATTGACAACACAAATTAATTTCACAATGAGTACCGCATTCATTGCTGAGAGGACTCCCCCCCCCCCCCCCCCCCCAAAAAAAAAAAAAAAAAATTTATTTTTTTAGTTTGAATATTGCCCTGAATATAGTTTACAATATTTAGCCCAATTTAAGTTAAGTTAACCTTTAGTTATGTAACCCAGCGTGTTTGTAAACATGTCAGGGCTTTATGGTACACTATGTCTATGTGTGTTCTATTGTTTACTTTTTTTAAATGTCAAACTAGGTGACAAGATGTTACAGCTGTCTGGAAATGAAAACAAAAACATGTTTGATAGTAACATTATTATGTGTACACAAAACGACAATAATATTTTGGTGATGACAAATGTGAAATCCAAATGAAAGCAGCAAGTACTGTAAAGGCGATAAAGACACAGACACGGTACGCCAGTTGTGTTGTAGTTCATTTGAGGGTTAGGAATCGTGTAATGTGTTTCTTTTTCAATCCTGTTTTGTCAGAAGATAAACACTGATATCTTCTTAAGACTATAATTTGACACAAGTTGATATACAACACTATATGGAAATATTTCTTGACAGATGGTTTACGAACATCTCCGGTAAACGGTAAGTGAGCATGTTAATGATGTGTTGAAGAATGCTATACCGGCTTGACTACCCGGCCCGTAGGCAGGGGGATGGGGTGTGGGGGTGGGGTGGGAGGGGGGGGGGGGGGGGGGGGGAGGGGGGAGGTTGGTTGGTTACACGATATACAGGATCGGGCAGAATCGGGAAGAATCGGGTAGGATCGGGTAGGATCGCGCAGAATCGGGCAGAATCGGGCAGGATCGCGCAGAATAGGGCAGAATCGGGTAGGATCGGGCAGGGTACCTAATGGGGCATAACACATAATTACTGCAATTCACATATTTCATAAAATGTTTTTTCTGTACATTCTGATCGGAATGTGATAACAATTCAAATGTTAAGATATTGAGTGATGATAAAATAATGAGTGATATTAAGATATTAAGTGATATTAAGATATTAAGTGATATTAAGATATTCAGAGATGATAAGATACTGAGTGATGTTAAGATATTGAGTCATATTAACAGATTGAGTGATAAGAGATTGAGTGATATTAAGATTTTGAGTGATATTAAGATACTGAGTGTTGATAAGAGATTGAGTGTTGATAAGAGATTGAGTGATATTAAGAGATTGAGTGATGTTAAGATTTTGAGTGATATTAAGATACTGAGTGTTGATAAGAGATTGAGTTATATTAAGAGATTGCGTGATGATAAGATATTGAGTGATATTAAGATATTGAGTAATATAAAGAGATTGAGTTACATTGCATCTTCTTTCTTTGTATATCAACATAAGAATTTCGACTCAATTCTGTTTCACTAAAAGTTTGTCAGCAGTGACTAGTCAACTAACCGTAATATAAAGGTTTATTTCACAACATTGGTGACACTAGCTTAATTTTTTTATACTTAATATTCCTGTTGCCCCGACTAACATCCTCGATACTCCAGCGGGCAAAATTGAAGGCTCAAGCGAAGTAATGTAATTGGTTGCAGAAGAAAAAAGTGACCAATCACATACCGATACGCTTTGAAGATTACAAAGGAGCGACCCAAACTTCAAAGCCATTATAATGATATACTGTTATACAACCTCGAGATTCGCTGTTCCAGGGGTATAAAGCGGGAAAGTCTTTACTTTATTTAGTCTCAGCTATGAATCCTAGAAGAACGAAACAGCTGTATGATGTAGCGGCACTGACGAGTCCTGGAAGGATGAAACAACTGTATGATGTAGCATCACTGACGAGTCCTAGAACGACGAAACCGCTGTATGATGTAGTATCACTGTTGAGTCCTAGTAGGACGAAACAGCTGTATAATGTAGCACCACTGTCGAGTCGTAGAAGGACGAAACCGCTGTATGATGTTGCATCACTGACGAGTCCTACAAGTACGAAACAGCTGTATGATGTTCTGTTTCACTCAGGTGATCGTTTCGGCCTTGGATTCCTGGATCCATTTTTTTCTGGCCTCTTCATTCCCTGGATTTTGTATCTTTTGTTTTTGTTTTTAGTTGATTTTTTTTTTATCATTCTTTGTTTATTTCTTTATCCCATGAAGTGAACTTTGTGGCCTGTTGTCCGTCTAGCCTTTAACAAATCTAGATAAATGATTTGGTTATCATGATTTCGCGGTGAAATACTCTAGAAATGATTATAATATTTTACCTGTAGACCCCTCCATGTCCGTAGCTATGCAAAATGAATGTAAAAATACCTTTTCGGATTTTGAATGAAAATGCTTCATGTTTGCACATGTTCAGTTTGTGGTAAAACTAGACAAAAACGTCACGTTTGATTTAAACAAATTACCACACCACCTAAAGATACGTGCTAAATAGTTCCTTGGTGTCGTTTGTCGGCTCCTCTGAGTCTTTATTTTGTATTATGGCTGAATTGCAACCCCCACCCCCGTTTGTCGGCTCCTCTGAGTCTTTATTTTGTATTGTGGCTCAATTGCATTGGATTAAAACATGGGAAAAACATTCACTTGTAATAAAAAATGTGCCTGGTTTAAAGAAAAACTAAATATGACTTAAAACATATTGAAAAAGTTTTTCTAGAACGATAGGATGACTATAGCGACCATGATAACATAACCATGATATGCTTTAAATTGTGATGGCGCTAGTATTCTGAGCAACAGGTCAGAGCGAGAAGCCCAAATAGCCCCGCCCCCGTGCGACAAGTCTTTCTAACCAACAAAACATGATACCATCGTTTGTATTCGTTTCCAAGTCATGTAGGTATTACGTACTACATACATCTATTAACAAACGACAACATTGGTAGGTAACAGCTCCCCAGTATGTGTTCCGTGTAAACCTGAAATGTTTTTATTAAGATTCAAGGGCACGTAACTCTAGAAATCCGATAAGTCGGATATGTATGGATTGCGTCTATAAAATCTTGATGCATATTTAGATTATCATCGAGAAAAACTTTAAATAAATTACAGTCAATATAGTGAAATTAAGTCATTCTTTTGTCCTTTCATAATTACCTAATGTCTTTTTTCGACAAATATATATACAAGACAGAACGTCCAAATCTTATTGAGATATTAAAAAACACATAAGGGTGTGTCACATCCCAACAAAAAGAGAAAATACTAAACCAGAAATGCATCGGTCACAAGTAAAATATTAATTAAGTTCTACAATAATATCTCGTTTTTTTATTGCAGATGAGAGAAGAATTCAGCTGCTTTCAGCTAACGTCTGACTGTTTGCCGTTAAATCATCGATAAGGGAAATAGTTGGTCTGCCATGACACTACTACCAAACCAAGAAACAAGCATACTATGAACGGCTTACATCAAATCCCATATTTCCAATCCATAGAGTTTACAGCTGAGACACAATCATTCGAACTGATTTGAAACACAGGTTAGGTGTTATGGTTCCAAACATCTTGAGTTACCAAGACAACCTTAAATCATACGATATGATTGGATCATCGAATTCTCAAAACCCAACTGATATGCTTTTCCGATTATCAGATTGCTCTGGCTTTGTCAACGCTACCGGTGGTTTCCATGGATACAGGGAGTTCAACAACCTATCTAACGTCCTAGACCAGCATCTGGGTCAGAGGCTCTGTGACGTACCCAGTACATCAAGCATGTTGCTAGGTAACACACCGTCTACTCAATTACCTAATGCATCGTGCAGTTCGAAAAACATTTCCCTGAATACATCCGGTACATTATCAAGCGCTTTCGGAAGTCAGACGCTTTCCGAATGGAAGATTCTATTTCTCGTGCTTGTATTGATCATGATAACATTTACATTTGTTGGCAATACTTTCGTGATTCTGTCCATCCGTCTCGAACGTCGGCTACAGACGCCGACCAACTATTTGACGCTGTCGCTGGCAGTGACGGACCTCCTGGTGTCGGTACTAGTGATGCCATTGAGCGTCATTAATGTTGTCAGTCACGACACCATATTGATACCCGTCGTGTGCCACATATGGATAATTCTGGACGTTAACCTTTGCTCCGTGTCAATATTCCACCTTTTGGTAATTGCTGTAGACCGATACCGGTCGGTAACCAATATAAACTACCGGTGTAAAAGGTCCTCCCGCAAGATCTTCGGAATGGTATCTCTCTGTTGGAGTGTAGGCTTGGTCATATGTGTCCCGCTCGTGTTTGGGGTAGCTGACCCAAAGTATGATCCGAGCATTACTGGAAAGTGCTTGATTGACCAAAGTGTGTTTTATACATTATTTTCTACAATATTTGCGTTCTATATACCTGCTATCGCTATGGTCACTATTTACTATAAAATATACAGAATCGCCAAGTCGAGTATTAGAAAGACATATTTCAAAAAGCTATTGAAGACTGGCGAGAAAGCGATTCGCCGGAGTAGCGCACCGGAGTGTTTAAATTCCTGCAAGAGAAGACATCGCACGAGCTTCGCCAATTTTCGTTATCATTTCGGTCGCTCACGTGCAAGTCTCGACAGCTCAGGATCTTGTTTAAGTAATTCCTCAGTAAGTGTTCAGAGTCCAAGGCGCATAAGCGGAAGTTCTCAGCACAGCGTCGACTTTCCCCAAATTCATTATGGAAGATGCAATTCTCGGACTAGTCTAGACAGCTCTCAAATTCATAGGTCTTCTATCAGCTCAAACAGTCGAAGATCGGCAGTTACCGCTACAGGTTGCGATACAGACAGTGGCTATACTGAATGTCAGTTCAGTCTGAACGGTAGTCAACACGAAAAGTGTACTTTCGACAATCAACAACCTGATACAAGAGACAAAGGGCACAAGAGTGTCTGCTTAAGTGTTAGCCTTGAAAACCAGCGGGAAAAGTTTACCTGGTTTCGTGCTAGTGTTAATAATCGTCATGAAAAGTTTGTATGTTCCTCGGGAAGTTCCGGCAATCATCAAGAAATGGTCGGGTGTTCTCGGAGCAGCCGAGACAGTCATCAAGAAATGGTCGGGTGTTCTCGGGGCAGCCGAGACAGTCATCAAGAAATGGTCGCGTGTTCTCGGGGCAGCCTAGACAGTCATCAAGAAATGGTCGGGTGTTCTCGGGGCAGCCTAGACAGTCATCAAGAAATGGTCGGGTGTTCTCGGGGCAGCCTAGACAGTCATCAAGAAATGGTCGGGTGTTCTCGGGGCAGCCTAGACTGTCAACAAGAAAATGTCGGTCGTTTTCGGGCAAGCTTCAATAAACGCCAAGTGGATACCGTGCATTCTCGAGCCAGTATAGATGGGCGTTGTGTAAGTTTCAGTGACTCAAATTTCGTACAAAGACGGAAATCGTGTATAGAACCAAAAGTTGAAATCGGATGTGGACGGATTTCTCGGAATCCTGACCAAGCGATAAATGTAATAGCTGACTGTCCAACGTTGTCTGAAGTGACAGAAACTGATCTCAGTGGTCAAAGCGGCATTCAGATCTTTACGATTGGGAATGATGAAAATTTTGAAGAGAAATCGACGAGGTTTTCAGGACGTCCTGGAAACATTTTAAATTTAGCAGAGGAGAAAAGAAAACACGAGACGAAACGAGAGCGGCGAGCAGCGAGGACACTCGGGATTATAACCGGAACTTTCATCATTTGTTGGCTTCCTTTTTTCATTGTTGCGCTTATTTCACCTTTGTTAGAAAATTCTGACGTCACGATTCCGGAATCTGTTCAAACATTTGTTCTGTGGCTTGGATACTTTAATTGCTTGGTAAACCCCGTTATATATACTGTTTTTAATCCAGAATTCCGAAAGGCATTCAAAAAATTAACATACTGCCTTTATTGCACGAAGCACAGAATCCATTAGAATAATGAACTGGTTCAGAACGACAAAGAAAGAGAAAAACCAATCAGACAAAATAATTCCAATAAAAATGTTGTTAATAATATTGATAGTATTGTTTGCATATATTATCAGTTTTATTGTTTTGTGATTAAAATCGAGTAAACAAAAGTAAACAGCATAAATGTGTGTGTGTGTGTGTGTTTGTGTGTGTGTGTGTGTGTGTGTGTGTGTGTGTGTGTGTGTGTGTGTGTGTGTGTGGGTGGGTGTGGGTGTGAGTGTGTGTGTGTGTGTGTGTGTGTGGGTGTGTGTGTGTGGGTGTGTGTGTGTGTGTGTGTGATGGTGTGTGTGTGTGTGTGTGTGATGGTGTGTGTGTGTTTGTATGTGTGTGTGTGTGTGTGTGCGTGCGTGTGTGTTTGTATATGTGTGTGTGTGTATGTGTATGTTTGTATATATGTGTGTGTGTATATATATATATATATATGTTTGTGTGTGTGTGTATGTTTGTGTGTGTTTGTATATGTGTAGTTGTGTGTGTGTTTGTATATGTGTGTGTGTATGTTTGTACATGTGTGTGTGTGTATATATATATGTTTGTGTGTGTGTTTATGTTTTTGTGTGTGTTTGTATATGTGTGTGTGTGTGTGTGTTTGTTTGTATATGTGTGTGTGTATGCTTGTATATGAGCGTGTGTGTATATATATATGTTTGTGTGTGTGTATGTGTGTGTGTGTGAGGGTGTGTGCGTGAGTGTGTGTGTGCGTGCGTGCGTACGTGCATGCGTGCGTGCGTTCGTTCGTTTGTTTGTTCGTGCGTGCGTGCGTGCGTGCGTTTGTGTGTGTTTCAATAAACTTCTGCAATACACAATTTTGTTGTTCTTGTTTATACTTGTATACTGATACACTATCTATAGATCATCAGTATAAGACATTGTACTCACTGGTTTGTTATAACTAATATCCGTGGTGTAATATTCATAGCGGAAAGATGTATTTCTGTCTTTCTCCCTCATTTTTTTACATACAAATTAAATTACAAATACACATTTAAATAACATTCAAGGGATTGTTGATATTTATCAGACTATTTTATAAAACGTGACATAATCAACAGCTGTGTTATATAAAGTCAATTACATGCATTCCAGTATCACGTATTTTAATTATTTCGATGTGTGGGTGGGGTTTTTTATGCACCATTTCCGTCGGCATTTTTTATTGTCATCCAGTCTTAAATAACATTTGTTGAAATGTCTAAATTGTTGTTTATATATAACACAGTGTAAATATTATCATCATTACAAGCAAACCGTCACATACATTTACATATTGATGTAAATTTATAGTGCATGAACTCAGCGGCTTTGCTTGCATTACAACTGCTAGCTGAGATACTTAAAGGGGGATACAAGTGATTTTGTTTCTAATCGTTAGCTGGTGCGAAGTGGATTATAGATCTGGTAGTTAGTCAAACCCGCGGAGATGAATATTTCTCTTGAGGTTAGTCACACCCGCGGAGATGAATATTTCTCTTGTAGTTAGTCACACCCGCGGAGATGAATATTTCTCTTGAGGTAAGTCACACCCGCGGAAAGGAATATTGATCTGGTAGTTAGTCACATCCGTCGAGGGGAATATGGATCTGTTAGTTAGTCACTACCGCGGAGAGGAGTATTGATCTGATAGTTAGTCACACCGGCAAAGGGGAATAAAGATCTGGTAGTTAATCACACCCGCGGAGGGGAATATAGATGTGGTAGTTAGTCACACCCGCCGAGGGAAATATAGATCTGGTAGCTAGTCACACCAGCAGAAAAGAATAGCGATCTGGTAGTTAGTCACACTCACGGAAAGAAATTTAGGTCTGGTAGTTAGTCACATCCGCCGTGGGGAAAAGCGATCTGGTAGCTAGTCTCACCCGCCGAGGGGAATATAGATCTGGTAGTTAATCACACCCGCGGAGGGGGAATATAGATCCGGTAGCTAGTCACACCCCTGGAGAGGAATATAAATCTGGTTACTAGTCACACCCGCGGAGGCAAATAACGATCAGGTAGTTAGTCACATCCGCGGAGTACCAGTTTGAAACGGATTAAGTTTAAATGAAAGTGGTTGAAAAATACAGCCGATGACGATAGTCGCATGGAGATGAGAATGTGCTATTGTGACTATTTTGTAGTGGCTAGCTTTGCAGACCTGCCCTCGGTCGTTTAAAAACTGGATATATGTTGTTTGGGGGCTTTGTGGCGTGTTGTTCTTTCTGTCAATAAGGATAAAAAAATTTTATTTACCCGTTAAGAAGTGGATCAGATTTGGGCATGGCATGGATAAGGCTGTGATCCTTTGGAGAAACTTTTACCAACACGTACTCTTCATTTACCTACACGATATTTACCTAGATACAATCATTTCTATATGGTGGCAAGTATAGTATACGTAACCATTCAGTCATTTCATAATGCATTGTATCACCAACCGTAAATGTAATTGATTGTGACGTCACATGTAGGACATTCTCTTGACGTCACAGAATTACAGCTACAGGTATTTGGGGTGGAATAAAATCAGAAATAGAAGAAAAACATGTGTGAAGTTGTCATACTAAATCAATTACACATACTTAATCATTTGAACCCTCTGTAATGGACACGAGTAGAAGATTCTATTTATCATATGATTTACATTATTATTATAACATTGAAGATGGGCGTTTCGTGCTGTTTATTTTTGCGATGCACAGCGCGAGCTAAATTGAATTACTGCGGTTATTGGGTTCAAAACAGTTTTCAGATGGGGATTGGAGGGTGTCATTGATTATATATCGTTTCTACTTTTCAGGCTGTTTATGAAGTATATATTGCATATATTCTACAGGATCTATTGAAAGCAAATACTGTCATATTAACGGAATCTTAATTCAGTTTCAACTTCGATGAAACAGAGACAAAATATCAACAAAGGAAAAAATACACGAACACATTTGAAAAAAGCATAATATCGGACCAGGTGTTCCGGAAGATTAAGCATTTTCTGCTTCAACGGCGTTAACCTACCATGCAAATCTTGTTCAATGCATTTACATAATACCTCATTCTCAAATAATATGTGTAAATAGATTCATTCAAGTGCTGTTTTTTATCACAAAAATTTCTTCTTCAATTGGGCCACAGTTCTCACGATGTCTACAACATAAGTGTGAGTCCATTAAATCTATTATACAAATTTATCCAATACAAAATGATCTCAAGTAATCTTCTACCTGGCATAAATTTCCATATTATCAATATTTAAACATTCATATTCGAATCCATGGAAGGGATTATTTTTTCAATATGTTGGACCCTTTCATACAAAATTCTCGTAGATGGCTGATAACAAGTTTTTCATTATGACGAAGTAAGATAATAAATAAATTTGACTCCAAAACATGTTGCTTTATTGAAATAAATGTAACGATCTCACGCGTATAAATTATCACGGTCACTCATATGTATGAGTAATCAGATTGTTCACGAGCATGAAGACAAACGACAAATTCTGACACAATATCTCAGACATAATGATAATTCTGATCAAATGTTAAAAGAACATTTTAGAAACATTGATACAACTATATACAACTTCTCTAAGAACGTGCAACGATGTTTTCACTTTTCTTCAAAACGTTGATAAATGAAATGCATTGAAAATCTCAATATTTTATTGATTACATGTTCTATGTATTACCATATGTTTTTGAAATATTGACCTTTTGAACAAATGGAATCCATTTCAATATTGAGTTACTTCTACAAAATTTGTCTAAATATGGTATATCATATAAATGGTCTCTTGTGACGTAACTTCCGGTAGATAGGGATTGGACTTCGTTCATGTCTGCATGAATGTCGACATCACGTGTCACTGGATCAAGGCCTCTCGAGAGTCGTGTGCCTGTCAAACAAAGAGAGTTTAAACATTCGCCATTCTTTTATTTATTTTTATTGTAACTGTAATTGCCGACATTACATAAACTGGTTCTGTATCATATATATACATTAAAACTAAAACAGTTGTAAAAAAAAATCTCGGGATTGACTGAGAACTTAGACAATGACACTGCATACACTTGACAATAAAGTTAATTAATACATTGTCTACAAATCCTCTCTCTCTCTCTCTCTCTCTCTCTCTCTCTCTCTCTCTCTCTCTCTCTCTCTCTCTCTCTCTCTCTCTCTCTCTCTCTCTCTCTCTCTCTCTCTCTCTCTCTCTCTCTCTCTCTCTCTCTCTCTCTCTCTCTCTCTCTCTCTCTCTCTCTCTCTCTCTCTCTCTCTCTCTCTCTCTCTCTCTCTCTCTCTCTCTCTCTCTCTCTCTCTCTCTCTCTCTCTCTCTCTCTCTCTCTCTCTCTCTCTCTATCTCTCTCTCTCTCTCTCTCTCTCTCTCTCTCTCTCTCTCTCTCTCTCTCTCTCTCTCTCTCTCTCTCTCTCTCCCTCCCTCTCTCTCTCCATTAAAAGGAAAGTTTATCCTCTATCGAGATAAAGAAAACCCAAATAAAATATAGATCTATCAACGAAATGTGCAACATTGTGCTTCTGACCTGTCTGGGTACGTAGGAATGAGTTACCTACCCTTGACTGTATTGTCTAAAATGATAGCGATAAGGGATCCCATAATCATTGGAAACCCGAGAACGATTTTCATTACTTTGTCCACTTCGGTGTAACCTGAAATGAAATTTCCTTAAAGTATGGACATGATACAAATGTTATTCTCCAATCATACCATCATGCCCTCATGAATATGTTAAATAGTAAATACGTTCTTAACGTTTTATTTGTCCATGAGGCGCTCCACAACAATTTCATTTTTTAAATTATTATTATCATTACAATTATTATCATTAAAATTATTATCATTACAATTATTATCATTCCAATTATTATTATTATTATTATTATTATTATTATTATTATTATAACCTTTTTTTGTCTTCATTTTTAAAAGATTCGTTTTGGCATCGACAAAAGTTGAAAAAACTGTATTCTTAGAATCTGAATTCCAAAGCTGACTCACCTGTGCTTATCATACCTGGATACATGTTCAGTGAAGCAGAACTAATAACAGGTATCAAGATGGACATGCCCACGACTGAGATGTTTCGGGATGACGTCATATCAACTGTACGTAATGTCGATATTCCTAGCCCCAACACGATTCCTGGTTCAAAAGAAGACAGGTGTGTATGCAGAATTGATCAAATGACAATAAGGAAGATGAAAATGCTAACGGTTCAGTTATGTGTTTAGTGTAAAAAAAAAAAAAAAAAAGAGGAACTCAGAAAAAAAAATTAATAAAAAACTAGAAAAATGAGTAATTCAAAAGCATAAATGACGTGCGACAAAGTTAATTTGCAAAGGTGTAATTTAGTAATTTAGACAAGTTAAACATCAAAAACAAAAGTAAAAATCAGTTTTTCACTAAAGCTTCATCAAGCATTATATACATTTACATTCATCTGAATATTTCATAAGTGATGACAAATATTAACGTATTCATGGTGTCACTTCAATTGTAATTATTAATGGAAACATTGTTCGCGTTTCATTTTCTTTTTCTTTCCTCACAAAGCCTCGTTTTCACTTAATCAATTTCATTATTATTGACCAGTGTTTAAGATGTAATATCTGATATCAAAATTTAACCAAATTAGGAAATGTGGTATAGCTTTGATTTATCGTCGGTCTATATCTCTCCAATCGGGTTAATAAGATTGTACTGACCTCTCTTAAGGTCAATAATGTATAAACATCTGGACTTTATACCTGTTGTAACAATAGAAATTCCACCAATGATAGGATCAGGCATAGATGACATCACGGCCCCAAACTTTACAAACACAGCTAGAATAATTGCTATTACTCCAGACAAAACTACAGCATAACGACTGCCTACCTGAGCCAAAAAAACAAAAACGGAGCATAAAGTCTCGCCTACTAGTTTGATCTACTTTAAGATATAACATCCATTTTCTGTCAATTTTCTTAAGAGAACTCTTTTGTTCATGCAAAATAATCGAAAAAACTTAAAGAAAGAAAGATTGGAAAGAAACCTCTCCCCAACCGCCCCTCCCCCAAACGAAAATAAGGGGAAAATAAGTAAAAAAAAAAAAAGTAAAAATGGGATGCATATGAGGTATGAGAGATAGTTGAATGAAGAGTTGGTTTGCTACTTTTTTAAAGTTCTTTACTGAACTACGCGATCGAAAAATGTTTTGACAAATATTGCAATTTATGAATTTAGAATCGTGCCTAAGGTAAGATTAAAACTATTTTGATGTCGCAGCACTTTTGTCGTTATCAGTTCCACAATAATGAAAAAAAATCAACTCTTCACTGATCAACAGCATATTTTACTAAAATAGAAGATACCGTCAGATTATATGCATATTCACCAGACTAAGCTAAAGGGAGACAACACCGACTTTTGGGGTTGTGTTTGTGCCGACAGAGACAAGATAGCACAGACTATATAATGATATCATTTTATCCTTTTAGGCTAAAATATGGATTTATAAAAAAAAATCATGGCCATTTACTTTTAGAGAGATGATAATATAACTTGTCTTCTGTTCTATAGGCATTGATACTGATATACATCTCAAACATTATAATAATATAGATAACATATTGCCTACCTTTGTAAGAGCTGCTATGGAGACGGCTATGGTGTATGAGGTGGTTGCATGGCCGGTACCGAAGAGTGCCGAAAGTATGCTCATCAGTCCTTCGATCAAAATCCCGCGATTTACAGCGTGTGACGGAACAGGAAGTGCGTCACACGTTTTGGCTGTAGCGAAGTAATCGCCAATGGATTCCATTGCTGATGCTATGCTGACCGAAATAAAGGCAATAAACAGACCCATGTTGAACTTTGGGGCTCCGAAATGACCTTGATGAATAATGAAAACAACATATTTATTACAATCGTTCAATTGAAAAAATTACTCTAATTTTAAAACGTCTATTTGATACATTTATCAAAGCTCCGAAGGGCAAATGTAACTTACCTCTGCAAGTAAGAAAAATGTATGAATTATATCGTACCTTCAAGATTTAGAGTTAAAACAATCTTACTTACAATATAAAGAGTCTTACGCACCAATAGAAAGTCTTACGTAAAAGATAAAGAGTCTTACCTACAAGATAAAACATCTTATCCACAAGATAAAAAGTCTTACCCACAAGATAGGAAGTCTTACCCACAAGATAGAAAGTCTTACCCACAAGATAGAAAAACTTACACACAAGTTAGAAAGTCTTACCCACAAGATAGAAAGTCTTACCCACAAGATAGAAAGTCTTACCCAGAAGATAAAAAGTCTTAACCACAAGATAGAAAGTCTTACCCAGAAGATAAAAAGTCTTACCCACAAGATAGAAAGTCTTACGTAAAAGATAGGAAGTCTTACCCGCAAGATAGAAAGTCTTACCCACAAGATAGAAAGTCTTACCCACAAGATAGAAAGTCTTAAGTAAAAGATGGGAAATCTTACCTACAAGATAAAGAGACTTACCCGCAAGATAGAAAGTCTTACCCACAAGATAGAAAGTCTTACCCACAACATAGAAAGTCTTACGTAAAAGATGGGAAGTCTTACCCACAAGATAAAGAGACTTACGTACAAGATATGAAGTCTTAGGCACAAGCTTTTTCACTCCAATCTGTCAAATTATTTGTTAATTACACATTGATCTGTAGATTTAACATTGCAATCATTAAAAGTTAAAAGTACAAATTTTACAGACTAATTTGCACATTTTATAGATTAAAGTGTAAAATTAATGTGTAAAATTTACAGATAAATATGTAAAATTTACAGATAAACATGAAATAAAAAAGTTTTAAAGTTTCATTGATACGCGAAATTCTGTGGCGATCGCACTAAGGATAGTCCTTAATGAAACACCGATCCATGCTTCATTGAACAAACCGGGATATCGGTAAGGTGTAATACTATAATTTATATAGGTTTCTGACGAGGTCCGCAGTAGTCACAGTGTAATATTAGCTTGTCATTTACCTTCTATCTTAATAGTGGGTGATTGACTATTGGAGACAATATCCTTGTTCAATTTTTTTTAAAGCTGGAGGACAGAGAGGGTCTACTCTCAGAAATACTGTCATTACTAGCAGTACTCTCAGAAATTCTGTCATTACTAGCAGTACTCTCAGAAATACTGTCATTACTAGCAGTACTCTCAGAAATAGTGTCATTACTAGCAGTACTCTCAGATATACTGTCATTACTAGCAGTAATCTCAGAAATACTGTCATTACTAGAAGTACTCTCAGAAATGGTGTCATTACTAGCAGTACTCTCAGAAATAGTGTCATTACTAGCAGTACTCTCAGAAATAGTGTCATTACTAGCAGTACTCTCAGATATACTGTCATTACTAGCAGTAATCTCAGAAATACTGTCATTACTAGAAGTACTTTCAGAAATGGTGTCATTACCAGCAGTACTCTCAGAACTAGTGTCATTACCAGCAGTACTCTCAGAAATAGTGTCATTACTAGCAGTACTCTCAGAAATACTGTCATTACTAGCAGTACTCTCAGAAATACTGTCATTACTAGCAGTACTCTCAGAAATGGTGTCATTACTAGCAGTACTCTCAGAAATAGTGTCATTACTAGCAGTACTCTCAGAAATACTGTCATTACTAGCAGTACTCTCAGAAATAGTGTCATAACCAGCAGTACTCTCAGAAATACTGTCATTACTAGCAGTACTCTCAGAAATAGTGTCATTACCAGCAGTAATCTCAGAAATACTGTCATTACTAGAAGTACTCTCAGAAATGGTGTCATTACTAGCAGTACTCTCAGAAATAGTGTCATTACTAGCAGTACTCTCAGAAATACTGTCATTACTAGCAGTACTCTCAGAAATGGTGTCATTACTAGCAGTACTCTCAGAAATAGTGTCATTACTAGCAGTAATCTCAGAAATACTGTCATTACTAGAAGTACTCTCAGAAATGGTGTCATTACTAGCAGTACTCTCAGAAATAGTGTCATTACTAGCAGTACTCTCAGAAATACTGTCATTACTAGCAGTACTCTCAGAAATAGTGTCATTACTAGCAGTACTCTCAGAAATAGTGTCATTACTAGCAGTTCTCTCAGAAATACTGTCATTACTAGCAGTACTCTCAGAAATACTGTCATTACTAGCAGTACTCTCAGAAATGCTGTCATTACCAGCAGTACTCTCAGAAATACTGTCATTACCAGCAGTACTCTCAGAAATAGTGTCATTGCTAGTATTATCTCAGAAATACTGTCATTACTAGCAGTACTCTCAGAAATAGTGTCATTACTAGCAGTTCTCTCAGAAATACTGTCATTACTAGCAGTACTCTCAGAAATACTGTCATTACTAGCAGTACTCTCGGGAATAGTGTCATTACTAGCAGTACTCTCAGAAATAGGTTCATTACTATCAGTTCTCTCAGAAATACTGTCATTACTAGTGGTACTCTCAGAAATAGTGTCATTACTAGCGGTACTCTTAGAAATATACTAGAAGTACTCTCAGAAATGGTGTCATTACTAGCAGTACTCTCAGAAATAGTGTCATTACTAGCAGTTCTCTCAGAAATACTGTCATTACTAGCAGTACTCTCAGAAATACTGTCATTACTAGCAGTACTCTCAGAAATAGTGTCATTACTAGCAGTACTCTCAGAAATACTGTCATTACTAGCAGTACTCTCAGAAATAGTGTCATTACTAGCAGTACTCTCAGAAATAGTGTCATTACTAGAAATAGTACTCTCAGAAATAGTGTCATTACTAGCAGTACTCTCAGAAATAGTGTCATTACTAGCAGTACTCTCAGAAATACTGTCATTACTAGCAGTACTCTCAGAAATAGTGTCATTACTAGCAGTACTCTCACGAAATACTGTCATTACTAGAAGTACTCTCAGAAATAGTGTCATTACTAGCAGTACTCTCAGAAATAGTGTCATTACTAGCAGTTCTCTCAGAAATACTGTCATTACTAGCAGTACTCTCAGAAATACTGTCATTACTAGCAGTACTCTCAGAAATGGTGTCATTACTAGCAGTACTCTCAGAAATAGTGTCATTACTAGCAGTACTCTCAGAAATAGTGTCATTACTAGCAGTACTCTCAGAAATAGTGTCATTACTAGAAATAGTCATTACTCAGAAATCTCAGAAATGTGTCATTACTAGCAGTAGCAGTACTGTCATTACTAGCAGAAATAGTGTCATTACTAGCAGTTCTCTCAGAAATACTGTCATTACTAGCAGTACTCTCAGAAATACTGTCATTACTAGCAGTACTCTCAGAAATGGTGTCATTACTAGCAGTACTCTCAGAAATAGTGTCATTACTAGCAGTACTCTCAGAAATAGTGTCATTACTAGCAGTAATCTCAGAAATAGTGTCATTACTAGCAGTACTCTCAGAAATAGTGTCATTACTAGCAGTACTCTCAGAAATAGTGTCATTACTAGCAGTTCTCTCAGAAATACTGTCATTACTAGCAGTACTCTCAGAAATACTGTCATTACTAGCAGTACTCTCAGAAATAGTGTCATTACTAGCAGTTCTCTCAGAAATAGTGTCATTACTAGCAGTACTCTCAGAAATAGTGTCATTACTAGCAGTACTCTCAGAAATAGTGTCATTACTAGCAGTACTCTCAGAAATACTGTCATTACTAGCAGTACTCTCAGAAATAGTGTCATTACTAGCAGTTCTCTCAGAAATACTGTCATTACTAGCAGTACTCTCAGAAATACTGTCATTACTAGCAGTACTCTCAGAAATGGTGTCATTACTAGCAGTACTCTCAGAAATAGTGTCATTACTAGCAGTACTCTCAGAAATAGTGTCATTACTAGCAGTACTCTCAGAAATAGTGTCATTACTAGCAGTACTCTCAGAAATAGTGTCATTACTAGCAGTACTCTCAGAAATAGTGTCATTACTAGCAGTACTCTCAGAAATACTGTCATTACTAGCAGTACTCTCAGAAATAGTGTCATTACTAGCAGTACTCTCAGAAATGGTGTCATTACTAGCAGTACTCTCAGAAATAGTGTCATTACTGCAGTCAAATACTGTCATTACTAGCAGTACTCTCAGAAATACTGTCATTACTAGAAATGGTGTCATTACTAGCAGTACTCTCAGAAATACTGTCATTACCAGCAGTACTCTCAGAAATAGTGTCATTACTAGCAGTAATCTCAGAAACAGTGTCATTACTAGCAGTACTCTCAGATATACTGTCATTACTAGCAGTTCTCTCAGAAATACTGTCATTACTAGAAGTACTCTCTACTGTCATTACTAGCAGTACTCTCAGAAATAATGTCATTACTAGCAGTACTCTCAGAAATAGTGTCATTACTAGCAGTTCTCTCAGAAATACTGTCATTACTAGCAGTACTCTCAGAAATACTGTCATTACTAGCAGTACTCTCAGAAATGGTGTCATTACTAGCAGTACTCTCAGAAATAGTGTCATTACTAGAAATAGTGTCATTACTAGCAGTACTCTCAGAAATAGTGTCATTACTAGCAGTACTCTCAGAAATAGTGTCATTACTAGCAGTTCTCTCAGAAATACTGTCATTACTAGCAGTACTCTCAGAAATAGTGTCATTACTAGCAGTACTCTCAGAAATAGTGTCATTACTAGCAGTACTCTCAGAAATACTGTCATTACCAGCAGTACTCTCAGAAATAGTGTCATTACTAGCAGTAATCTCAGAAATACTGTCATTACTAGCAGTACTCTCAGAAATAGTGTCATTACTAGCAGTACTCTCAGAAATAGTGTCATTACTAGCAGTACTCTCAGAAATACTGTCATTACTAGCAGTACTCTCAGAAATAGTGT